AATTCATTTTAGACAATGGAACTAGGATATTATTTACATGAAATAGATAAATTGTTCAAAATGGACAAAAGCTTATACTATATAGTACTCGGTGATTTTTTAAAAATATTTCTTTTTGTTTTGATTTAAAATAGTAAGATTCAGATCCATTCATTGTCTTATTTTGAAATCACAGAAAAAGTCGCCACGACAAGCAAAAATAAAATATATACAATCCAAACATGTAGATCGTATTTGTTTAATTTTTTTTCGTAATCATACAAAGAGAGTTGACGAACAACACATAATGAGACATATATTGTAGGAAGGTGAATATTATTAATAATTTAAACGATAAACCATGATCCTACATGTGAATGTACTTGAAATAAACTTTATTTTTCTCAAATTTCAAATAAAAATTATAGAAGTTGGGCAATGAGTGGTGAAGCAGTATGTTAGCATCTTCTCCAAATATCAATATATATCATCATATTAAAGGGAAAGAACCATCAACATCCTGCACATTATTACGCTTTAAATTTGAACATTTTATTTTAAAATAAATGCTGAGACAAAGGATGAAAATGGATTGCTATCTAGTAAATGTAGGAACATGAAGTGAAGTACTACTACTAGTTAGGGGTGTACATGGGTCGGGTTGATTCGGTTTTTATCAAAACCAAACCAAACCAACTATATCGGTTTGGATTGGTTCGATTTTGTCGGGGTTTTTTGGATTTTCGGTTTTTTTTTTGTTACATGAATATTATTTCAATCTTACTTTGTTAAAATTATAGATAAAGCTTTGATAAGTGAATATATATTTAGTAAATATGGAGAAAAATTGACAAACATATGATCTATTAAAATATTCTAATAGGAGAATTTTTTTAGTAACACATGATAGTTATTTTCGTAGTCGTCTAACAATAATTTTTTGTTAATTTACGCTTTCAAGGTTAATACATGAGATGATCTCAAATATTTCTATGTTTTCTAAATAAAATTCACTATAAAGTCTTAAAAATATAAACAAAATTTATATATTTATATATTGGTTTGGTTCGGATTTTTTTACTCAATACCAAACCAAACCTAGTCGGGCATTTTAATCGATTTGGTTTGATTTTTCGGTTTAGTGTGGTTTTTCGGTTCGGTTTGAACACCCCTACTACTAGTTACTTTGTACCATATACGAAGACTCTTGTGTACTTCCTCCTATCCATAATAAATAGCCTTTGGGCCTTCTTATTTTTGTCTAAAATAAGTGTTCTCAAGGGTGGAGTTAGAGTTTTGGTAACGGATTCGGTCATACCCAATAACTTTAATACAAACTATATACTTCACTTATGAAATTCGCTGAATAAGAACAAATTCTTACTTTATAATCCAGTAACATAAAAATTGCTAGAATCCTGAATCCGGTAACTTTAAATTCTGACTCCGTCTCTGAGTGTTCTTTTACATAATCAAAAAGGAATTAATTTTTTTCTTTCAAATTTACCCTTATTTGTATAATGTGTGAAGTTAACAATATATAAATTTTAATTAAGCGTAATTTAATCAAAATACTTTTTTTTTCTTTTAGGAATTAATATTTTTTTCAAGGGGTATGCCAAAAGGTCAGTGGCACCTCGGATGTATAGATCCAATCTTATTATCTCTTCCTCGTAAATATTGTCCAAACGCACAACGTTGCAACAAAAGTGGCACCTAGGATGCATATATAGATCCAATCGATATTTAGTACTTTTGTTCTCCTTAAATGTAAATAATATATTGTTTTTTAAAACTTTCTTATTCGTTACTCGTTATTAATGCACGAGAAATTTTTTGAATTTAAAGTTACGTTTTTCATAAACAATGTATTAGAATATTTTCACAATTATTATCCTTTCCAAAATTAGAAAATATTATCAGACAAAATAAGAAACTCCATCTTATTCCCGTATTGAAGGATTGCTTGTAACCATTCTATGAATAATTCTCACAATGTGTGGGGACTTTTTTTGGATTTTAAGAAACTAGTACAGTAGTTATATATTGTTGGAAACGAACAAGAAAAAGGTCAAAAAAGCCCTTTTCATTTTCTCTTTTTATAATGTTACGTATTACGTGTTTCTTTGCTGTTCGACCCTCAAAAATAAAAATAAAAAATAAAAAATTAAAATAATCAATTGCCTCCACATGCAGTTGATCTCATCATTGAGAAATCACATGCAGTTCAAAAATTATGCTACATTGAAAAATATAAGAAACAAAAAACCATAACACAAGTCTTCCAAAGTGGAGTAGTAGTGGATCACAATTAATTTTAAATTCTAAATACCTTTTTTTCAACTTTGCTCCAAAACTGTTTTTTTTTTCTTTCCAAAAATCATATGTTTATGTCCAAACGCATAACTAAATGTATTATATCTGTTTTCTAAGGATTGTGTCTTTTCTGTTTCAAAAACCACAGAGATGTATCGAATTAATGTTTTAAATGAAGGTATTTTTTGGTATATACTATATAGTATTATATATATTCTGCACATTAATTAAATTTTTATAACTTTTTGTATCTGTAATTTTTATTAAAATTGATACTTGATAAACAAAACTAGGATATTTAGACGTAGAACTAGAAAATGGAGGAATAGAAAGGGATTTCTGAAAGTAAAGTCTCAGCGGTTTAAGATCACTTAAAAAATTTGTAAAAAAGTGGCGTAACGGAATAGAAGCAAAGTAAAGTCAACTAATTAATTAGTAAATTATTTAAATTGTTATGTCGGCTTGTAAATTTTGAATTAGTAGTAGGTTATACCAAGTCATTCTCTTCTGATACTATACAAAAATGTAAAAAATAAAATAAAAAATCAACATAACTTCTTTATGTATGCACCAATGATACTAAAACCAACTATAATAATGAACATGAAAAAAAAAAAAACATTTGGATTACATAATAAACGCGGTATTGAATTTTTTGAATTAGTAGTGCATACCAAGTCTCATTCCATAGCTTATTTTTCAATTTCTTCCATATAATATTTAACAGAAATATACACGAATATTTTATCAGTAATGTCTTTAATAACCAATATGCTTCTCTAATTGATAAAGAATAAAACATAAAAAACTAATCTATTAGTAATTTTTATTTATTTATGTATTTATTTATTTATTATTCATGTATCTACGAAAACGCTGAGAGAGTTCCATTTGTATTTCTTGAGATGTTTTATCGTCAAACAAAATGTCCCCTTCAAAGTTTCTTGAGGACTATTTCCAGTTTTCCAGTTGGCAAAGAAATAATTTTCTATAGCCATCGACCCTCAACAAACATAATGTAATTCGAACTATGTATTATCTTCCATAGTTAAGGGTTACTTTTTCTTGAAGCTATCAAGTTTGAAAAAAGACAATGCCACCAAACTAATCACACCCTCTGTGTTTATTTCAAGGAAATACTTATATTCGTGCTCTATATTTACATTAAAATAAGCAATTTAAATTAACCTTCACAGTTACACGCTAATTAACGTAAAACATATATCACTCAACTTTGGTTAAGTAATAAATGTTTATAACCAATCGCGAGTAAGTTATTCTTCTTCTAGAGGGAAGTGCTATAGTGAAGAATGATAAGTACTTCTTCATCCTTAATAAGAGGTATCAGGTTCGAGTCCCTGAGTATGGAGTCGCATTTGTTAGGGACCGTTTTACCCCCAAATGTGGGACTTTTCGACGTGAATCTGGATTTAGTCGGAGCTCAGTGCGGACACCAGACAGTGACATATCTAAAATTTTTAAGTCATGTGGGTGCTTATCTAAAAGTACTACTAAAACTGAGTGCTCAAGTAATATATTTGTAAGAATTACTAGCTTTTTTATATAAATAATAGGTCATGACTCCAAAAGTAATGGGTGCTTCAGCACCCATAACTATCAACATACATCCGCCATTGGTACCAGACACCGTACCATAAAAAAAAAAAGAAGACCCTCAGCTTCAATGTTTTATTTATTAATTTGTTTAATATTTACCATAACCTAAGATTAAATAAAGGTTATTAAATTGGTGTGTTTAACTTTACTTACTTTTGTAACTATTAGTGGTGGCATGTGCATATATAGAAGGAAAAGATAAGATTCTTGTGCATTGGCATTTTGATGAGAGAATTTAACTTGCTCGTGAAGTATGTGGTGGATAAAATGCATGCTCACGTGAATCAGTAAGAAAACATAAATCAACAATAATACATATATTATATATAAATATAAATAGTTTTCCTCAAATTGTGAAGCTTACACATCTATTGCCTTTGATTAATATGGTTAATGGTACCTCAAATTAAAGCAACTCCACTACCCTAATTTCCTAGGAC